AACACCAGCGCCTCAGAGTCATTTACTGGGAAGTACAGGTAACAGTGTGTGGTATGCCTTGATTGAGGAATGAAAGATGCTGAGGAAACTTGGTTCTGGTTTTAGTACACCAGAATTACTTTTCAATTTTAGAAAACCAAGGAGGTTAGAGAAAGCAGAGAGGAATTAGGGGTTGCTTTTTTATGGGTTCATTTATACGAAGAAGAGAACTAGCCATAAATATTTGGTAAGATACATCCTGTCTTTTTTTTTTTTTTTTTTTTTTTTGAGACGGAGTTTCGCTCTTGTCACCCAGGCTGGAGTGCAATGGCGCGATCTCGGCTCACCGCAACCTCCGCCTCCTGGGCTCAGGCAATTCTCCTGCCTCAGCCTCCTGAGTAGCTGGGATTACAGGCACGCGCCACCACGCCCAGCTAGTTTTTTGTATTTTTAGTAGAGACGGGGTTTCACCATGTTGACCAGGATGGTCTCGATCTCTCGACCTCGTGATCCACCCGCCTTGGCCTCCCAAAGTGCTGGGATTACAGGCTTGAGCCACCGTGCCTGGCGATACATCCTGTCTTAAACTTGAATTATAATATGAGGGAATTTAATAAAGAAGGAAAGCTAAAAAAAAAAAAAAAAAAGAAAGGTAGTTGGTCCAAAAAGTGATCCCAGTGGACTAGCTAGTATAATGTGTGATTAACACACATTATCTCCTTTAGGCCTTGCGAAGAAGTAAGTACTCTCGTTATCCCTAAGTTCCTGGTGAAGAAACAGTCTCTGAGACTAGAAGTTACTTGCCCCAAGTTAGTAAGCAGTGTGGTCCGGAGGTTGCCAGAATCTGCCCTGTTTCTGCCTTCTGGTGTTCGTTTATTCTATTCAATCTTTGGGCCTGGGCTGGGTGCAAGGGGTACACATTCTAGCACAGAAGGAACTCCTGCGATGGAAAGAAACCCAGCGCAGTGATCAGGAACACTGATCCTGTTTGAGGTCTCTTTTTCAGCCAAGCATAAGGCAATGACATCGTACGTCTGATGGACTGAAACAGCCCCCTTGGATCCAGGGGAAACCACCTTACTAGAGAAACTTGAGAGAATTGTTGAGCATATCTGGCTTTTTGAGGTTTACAGGCAGGAATTCAAAGTGGAAATTGTGAGCCTGTTTTTACTATTATTTTGTCTATCGATATTTTTCTCTCAGGTTTAGAAAATAAGAAAGCAAAGTACGTTCCACCAAATGTAGCATTTCACCTGGCAAATGATACAGAAGAGAGGGGCAGACAGTCTCTCGTGTGTATGGAGTTTTTGGAACATAGAATCTAAGCTGGTGAAAGATGAATGTTTAGATATTCAGGAAAGAAGTCCTTTGTCAGTGTTTCTCCACATACTTACCTGTGTTTTTGCCATATTGTTTTGTACTTTATTTTGTTGTTGTAGGAAATAAGAATAAATAAAAGGTTCCTCTTCAAAATTTTCTTCTTAGTTCATTACCAATAGTTTCTTCCAAGGTTAATTTACTTTAAAGCTTTTGCTAATAATCCTAAAGTAGCTGTTAGTCATAATAAAGATGTAAGTGCATCCTGTGTTCTTAGTTCTTCCACTTTAACCTAGATATTTGCCCTGACAGGCCTGAACAAGCCCAGGCAAGCCTTAGGTCATAGCTTATGCTCCTTCCTTATTTGGAAATGTTACCGCTTCTCTAAGCATTCATCAAATGACTTCTCCTTTTCCTTTGTTCTCCTCTGCCTTTACCTCTTTAGAAAGTTCCCAAGTTTTTAGCCAATCGGGTCACACATACAACGTGAGGTCCCGTTCTGGCCAGTGGAAACTGGACACAGCAGCAGGGCGAGTGCGTCAGGTTACGGAAGTTATAAATGTCCCCGTCTCCTTGTTCAGGTGTGCGCTGGTGGCAAGACTGCTAGTGAGTTGCATCCTCCCTGCAGGAAGTAAACTAGCCTTGCTGAGTGATCCCTTGTCTCCGTATGGGTATTTCCCGACGTTATAAACCCGTTTCCAACATCGTTGTTCCTGCTAAGCAGAAATTTTTTTATCATTGTCACATGTATTGCCTTTTTTTTTTTTTTTCTGAGACTGAGTCTCGCTCTGTTGCCCAGGCTGGAGTGCGGTGGTGCGATCTCAGCTCACTGCAACCTCTGCCTCCCAGGTTCAAGAAATTTTCCTGCCTCAGCCTCCCGAGTAGCTGGAACTACAGGTGCGTACCACCACACCCGGCTAATTTTTACATTTTTAGTAGAGACAGGGTTTCTCCAAGTTAGTCAGAATGGTCTCGATCTGCTGGCCTCATGATCTGCCCGCCTCAGCCTCCCAAAGTGCTGGGATTACAGGCGTGATACATGTATTTCTTTTCTTTGGTATATTCTGGGTTTATGTTTTTCTTAATAATGACTTCTCTGCTCTACAATAACAAATTTTCTTCATGTTTTTGTCTATCCATTAATCTATCTGGAATTTACTCTCATATGAGAAATGAAGTAGTGATCCAACTTTGTTATGCAAATGGCTAGCCAGTTGTCACCATACTACAATGTTTAGTGACTAACGTATCCTTTGGCAGTGCTTTCAAATGCCACCTTGATTGTGTAAGGAATGCAAAATTTGACTTCTTACCCTCTTAGCATGTTCGGCTGGGCTAGAGAATTGACATAACACAGATTAATAAGAGAAAAGCATGTTGATTTAATGTAACTTTTATGTGACACAGGAGCCCTCATAAGGAAATGAAGACCCAAAGAAACAGTTAAACACTATTATTTGGACAAAGAATAGTACATCGTGAAAATGTGATAAGGCAAGGGGCCTTAGGCTAGGGGAGTTCCTTGTGGCTAAAGGAGAAAGGTTCATTTACGACGTTAGTGTGTACAGAATTCTCTCGGCCGCAACTGCCAGCCCTGGCGATGAGTGTTACTTTCAGCAGAGGGAGGACAGGGTTTCTCTCACTTTCAGGAAGAAAAAAGAGAAGTCAGAGTACCCTTGGTGCATCTGTTGTTTATCAAGGGCCATTAGCACAACATAATCATTATGCCAAAGTGCCATGTCCTGCCAGCCTTCATGCATGTACTAAATCCCCACTTGCGTTTTCAGCTGTCCCCTCACCCCCATTCCGTTCCATTGCTCTGATGCCTGCATCTGCCTGACCACTGCCAGAATTAGTTCCTGCAGCTCTTCATTGCCCGCTGATCTCTGCTAACCCTACTCCAAGGGTAGTGGTGTGATCTCGGCTCACTGCAATTTCCACCTCCCAGGCTCAAGTGATTCTCCTGTCTCAGCCTCCTGAGTAGCTAGATTAAAGCTACTACCTCTTGGCTAATTTTTGTATTTTTAGTAAAGACAGGGCTTCACCATGTGGGCCAGGCTGGTCTCAAACTCCTGACCTCCAGTGATCCATCCACCTTGGCCTTCCAAAGTGCTGGGATTACAGGCGTGAGCCACCACGCCAGGCCCTTCAGAATTTTATATGGGTGTTCTATGATCTCTCCCAACTGTCCTGCTAAGGGTGAGGAAACCGCACCCTTGTGCTTCCTCTCGCCTCCTTTCCGTCTTTGGTTGGTTTTCTTATGAGTCTTATTTCTTCTAGCTTTTCCTTTTAAATACGTTCCTAGCTCTGTTACTTGATCTTTCAACTGTGTTTTCTGAATTTCCTTCCATGGGAAAACGTATGTAATTTACTTCCACCTTCTCTCTCCTCTCCTTCCCAATGTTTGGAAACACTGTTGTTGTTTGTCTATTTCCTGGAGGTCAGGAGGGTGGGACTAAAAGTTCCAACCCTGTAATCACATGGTAGGTTGAAAGGGGTTCATTATGGGTAACAAAAGATGCTTCTCACTCCTATCACTTAGAAAGGTTTCAGGAGCTCCAGGTCAGGAGCTGGGGATGGAAACCAAATCTTATTGTGTCACAATGTTACAGAAACTTCAGCAAAAGCAGCCTGGACCAGAGCAGCTCTCTGGGGCCCAGGCAATTCGAAAGAGCCCATTATTGAAGCGGCTACTTTGTCCCTGGTATATACCCTGGGGCTCATTGTCTTTGGGGGAAAACAGGACAGGATGCACATGAGTAGTTTAAGAGCAGAGGTTTAATAGGTAGACGAGAAAGAGAAACATCTTCTATGCAGGAAGGGGTCTCCAAGTAGAAAGGACAGTTGGTGGAGAATGCATGAGTTTCAAGGTACAGTTTGAGGAGGCGGTGTCTGATTGACAGGGCTCACAGACTGGTTCTATCAGAGGTTTCAGGCCCGTGCTGGGGGTCCCAGGACATGTCCTCTGCAGACGAGGGGGCACTGCTGCAGTCCTAACATTTTGTCATACAGAAATCTTCACTGCAAAAAGTCTGTCTTACACTGTCTTTTGCTTACCCCTGTGTCTTAATTTGCTTTTTTGTGTCCCACGTTCACGAACACATTTCCCCTAACTTTCTGTGAACGCTTTCAGATTCATTTTGGTAAGGTGGGGGATTTCAGCCCATGGGTGATTTCTTCTTGTAAATGAATTGAGGGGGAAAATCCCCTCTCCTTGCCACCACTGCACGGCCACCCTGACCTGCACTGTGTCGTTCTCTTCTTCTTGGTCACAGTGGCGGCACTGCTCAGTGCCCTGGCCCCTGCCCCATCCCTCCCTGCTCAAGGACTCTGCTCCTCTTGTCACGTCTTCCCTCCCGCACATGGACCCTTCTCTCCTGCGCCTGCATCACTGCATCTCCCGCGCCGACATGCTGTTCACCATCTCACTTTGGAAGCTCTCCCTTGCTCCCAGTTCTCCCATGACTACCACGGGCTTTCCTGCCCTTTTACATCAAGGCTTCGCCCAGAGCCTGCACGAGCCTCCTCCCCTTCCTTACCTTCCACCAGCGTCCTGCTGCGGAATGGACCAATCACAGTTTCCTTACCGGTGTGGAAAAACATGAAATGGATCATTAAAATGTTACCTTAACATTTCAGTGCCAGCAGCTGCATTTTTATGCTAGAAAGAGGTCAAAGAGAGGCTCCAATTCAGCACAAAAGTGGACAGTGAGTGATAAAGTTTAATTAACCCGTTCTGGGAGATCACCTTCATGGACTAGCATCCCTTCTGCGAACTGAAGGACTGAACAAGCAGAAGTAAAGGCCAAAGCCATCTCTCCATGCTCCCCACTGTGCAGATGGACTCACTGAGGCTCCGGCGTACATTGCTTGCTCAGCACTGGATCTATTTCGGGCCAAAGTGTCAGCAGGACTGATACCCACAGGGCATCCGAGTCCACATCAAAACCAGGCTTCCTCCATGGCATCTCTTAAACCAAGTCCCTGCCTGCTGACAGTGAGTTTCCAATCGTGGGCTGCCATGGCGGTGCCGGAGGCCTGGCTGGGCACACATCCGGTGGGTGTGGAGTGGAGGGGATTGGGGAGTGGCTTCTAGATCAGCATGAGGGGCGCAGAGGGGAAAGAGAACCCACGGCTTGCAGCCAGCAAGGGAAACGGGCTCAGCACACAGACGGGGCCCCTAGTAAAGCCCACGCAGGCCGGCTGCCCCAAGTGCAGACTGGAGTGGGACAGAGTGGGGCTGACAACTGAGGAAAATTAGGGATGCTGAGTGTGCAGGACCCCGCTGCCTCCTGCCTGCAAAGAGGCCATGCTGGGTGTGCAAATGGTGAGCAGGTACATGGAGATCCTCACTGAGGGCCCAGGGAGATCAGGCCAGAGGAGGCAGGGCCAGCAGGGCCTGGGAGAAGACCAAAGGAGACAGTCAGTGAACTACAGTAGAGCCTGGCACCCCAAGCTGCTGGGGTCAAAGGCAAGGCCACTGCCAGCCCCTCCAATGAACCAGGCCCTGCCTGGCTTGCTCCAGCTGCTGCCCATCTAAGAGGAGCTCTCTGTGGGTCAGTGCTGGGTCCTCCGATGCCACCATCACATGGCACCTCAGTGCCATGCTTAAATCTAGGGATCTGAGATCACTAGATGTGAGCCGGAACACTGCTATTTCCTGGCTCTACAGTCTTGAGGAAATCATTCTCAACCCCAGAGTCTCGGCTTTCTCATCTGTGAAATGGGACATTGACATGTACACCTCACAGAATTCTCACAAGGATTAAATGATGAGTCGTATTCGATGAGATCCCATGCTTTAGGAACTTATGATGGGGGTCCACCCATGGTGGCCAATCACATCCAAGGGGCTAGGGGAGCAGAGGTGACAGGTGGCTATGTAAGAAAAACTCAGGAAACAGCAGGGAGGAGGATACCACGCCATCTTTCGAAAGAGGAGAGGTCTCGCTTTTGTCTGATCCCTGCACCGAGAGGCACGGGGCCCCAACATACCAGCCGCTCCTAAGGTCAGTGATTCCTCTCCGGCTCATATGTTAGGACCAGCTGCTCGAAGGAGTCGATCTGCAGGAAAGGAGCAGCCATCAGAACCGCTGGGAGATGCTGCTCCAGCTGGCCTTAATGGCCACCCATGCAGGCTGGCAGTGGTGAGAGGCAGGTGGGAACTCCGGCTTATGGATGTCTCTAGCCCAGGGAAGGCAACCCTCCCTCTCTCACCCACCCTACCCTCGTCCCACATGGGAACTCGTGCACCGACGCACCTTCACACACTCAGCCCTGCTGGAAGAAAGATGAACAATAGGAAGAGGAGAGACAAGAACCCTGAAGGGGCTGGGGTGCAGAAGAGGGAGGGCCACGGCAGTCACGAGGACGCCACCTGTCGCTCTCTCCTGGAACCACCACACACTTGCCTGGCCATGGTTCACTATTTCCCAGAAACTGGAATCTGGTGCTCGGTACTTGTTCCCGGGGTAGAGCTGCCACACGGCGGGCAGCCGGGAGAAGGGCATCTGGCTGGGGGACAGCGGATCCTGGCGGTGCACTGCCATCTGCCACAAGTGCACTGTGATGCTGGGCTCATACTGAAGGGACCAGAGAAGAGGCAGCAGATTAGGGATAGGGTTCCCTGCACACAAACATGGCAGGCGTAGATGCCCCAGCCCGGCCAGGGGGCTGCCGGGGTCAGAGGTCAATGTTTTCAGAATTCCAGACCCAGAGCCTTGGCACTGGTGCCTGTGGCTTCATCTAGGATGACTGGGGCTTTTCTGGCCCCCTCTGACCTGCACCCCGCCTCAGCCCACTCCAACCCCCAAATTTAGCCACTGTTGCCAACCTGTCAACAACCTTAGGTTAAAGCTGAGTATTCTGGGGCTCCGTCTCTGCCACTGTATAATTTTTTAAATCTCCTTTTTAAAAACAAGATATCCATGGACTCCTGAATCTGAGGGTGATAGATTCCCCCCCAAAATATACTGTAATTCTGATCATGACCTTCACATACTTATAGTAAATATACAAAATAAGGCCAGGTGCAGTGGCTTATTATGCCTGCAATCCCAACACTTTGGGAGACCGAGGCAGGATGACTGCTTGAAGCCAGGAGTTCAAGACCAGCCTCAGCAAAATAATGAGACTGTCTCTACAAAAAATAAAAAATTAGCTGAGCATGGTGACATGTGCCTATAGTCCCAGCTTCTCGGGAAGCTAAGGTGGGATGATCTCTTGAACCTGGGAGGTAGAGGCTGTTGTGAGCTATAAGCACGACACTGCACTTCAGCCTGGGAGACAGAGCAAGACCTTGTCTCAAAATAAATTAATAATAGGCCAGGTGCAATGGCTCATGTCTGGAATCCCAGTACTTTGGGAGGCCAAGGCAGGAGGATTGCAAGGACAAGAGATTGAGACCATCCTGGCCAACATGGTAAAACCCCATCTCTAGTAAAAATACAAAAATTAGCTGGGTGTGGTGGTGCACGCCTATAGTCCCAGCTACTTGGGAGGCTGAGGCAGGAGAATCGCTTGAACCCAGGAGGCAGAGGTTGCAGTAAGGGAAGATCACACCACTGCACTCCAGCCTGGGTGACAGGGACTCCATCTAAAAAAACAGATAATGAAAATAACAAAATTAGGCCAACACTGGAAGTTAGAAACATGAAAAGGAAAACTAAAGCTTCCTATGTTACACAACAAAATGGAAAGTCTTTTACACAATTTTCTAAGTATTTGTCTTCTGTGAAAAAACATCTTTTTGAATTAAGAATATTAGCGCTTTATCAATCAGACGTGAATAACTTTTCTCAGTTTGTGCCCTTTTTTATAGGCTGCTTTTGTAAAGAAAAATACTTTAAATTATACGGCAAAATTTCTCCTTCTCTTTGGATTCTGACTTTAGATCAGAGATCAGAAAACTAAGTCTAGCTTGCCATCTGCTTTTGCAAATAAACCTTTATTGTGGATATACTAAGGCTCCTTCCCTCAGCCCTTTACCATTGCCTTTAGCTGCTTCTGCACTGCAATAGCAGAGCTGAGTAGTTACAAGAGGATAGCCCTCAAAGTGGAAAGTGTGACCGTCAGATCCTTCACAGAAAAAGTTGGCTGATCTTTGCATTAGATACGCCCAGGAAGCATAATTTTCCACCCTGAGATGTTGATCTACTGTTAAAAAAAGGGGAAAAAAAATACTACGTAGCTCCCTTAATCCCACCCATGGCTAAGTTATTTGAAGAATCCATTCTATTTCCATTGAATCTTTTTTTTTTTTCTTGAGGCAGAGTCTCACCCTGTTGCCCAGGCTGGAGTGCAGTGGCACGATGGCGGCTCACTGCAACCTCTGCCTCCCAGGCCCTCAGCCTCCTGAATAACTGGGATTACAGGTGTGCACCACCATGCCCAGCTAACTTTTATATTTTTTAAGTACAGACAGGATTTCACCATGTTGGTCAGGCTGATCTTGAATCCCTAACCTCATAATCTGCCTGCCTCAGCCTCCCAAAGTGCTGGGATTACAGGCATGAGCCACCGAACTCAGTTGAATCATTGAAAAAAAAAAAATCTTAAGAGTACAGTTCAGATGGCCGGGCACGGTGGCTCAAGCCTGTAATCCCAGCACTTTGGGAGGCCGAGGCGGGTGAATCACGAGGTCAAGAGATCGAGACTATCCCGGTCAACATGGTGAAACCCCGTCTCTACTAAAAATACTAAAAATTAGCTGGGCATGATGGCGCGTGCCTGTAATCCCAGCTACTCAGGAGGCTGAGGCAGGAGAATTGCTTGAACCCAGGAGGCGGAGGTTGCGGTGAGCCGAAATCGCGCCATTGCACTCCAGCCTGGGTAACAAGAGCGAAACTCCGTCTCAAAAAAAAAAAAAAAAATAGTACAGTTCAGTGGCAGTAAGCGCATTCACATGTGCAAGCATCAGCACTATCCAACTCCAGAACTTTTTATCCTCCCAAACTGAGACTCCCTACCTGTCATTAACATTAACCCCCCCATCCCGCACTCCCTCCAGTCCCTGGCAGCCACCATTCTACTTTATCTATGAATTAGAACACTCTGAGTACTTCATACAAGAGAATCTGTCCTGTGACTGGCACGTTTCATTTAGTATAATGTCTCCACGTTCCATCCATGTGTCGGACTTTCCTTTTTAAGTATGAATACTTGATGGTTTGTGTTTTGTTTACCCATTCATCTATCAATGGACACTTGGCTGCCTCTACCTTGTGGCTAGCATGAATGTTACGGCTGTGAACATGGGTTTATGAATACATGTTTAAGGTCCCGCTTCAAATTCTTTTGGGTATATGCCCAGAAGTGGCATTGCTGGATTATGCAATAATTCTCTTCATTTTTTTTAGGCAGCCTCATGCTGACTTCCATCGTGGCTGTACCATTTTACATTTCGCTCCATTACCTCTTTTTCAGGCTTTTTAAAAACTTAAAATATTTGCTCTAGAATTTTTGCATCCTTTATTTAGTGTAGGTACAGAAAAGCCTTTCCATGTTCTCTAACGACATTTTTTCAAACAACCTATTTGAAGATTTCTTAGGAAATGTGTTATATTGTTTCGAATGTCTGAACTGGCTGGGTGCGGTGGCTCATTCCTGTAATCCCAGCACTTTGGGAGCCTGAGGCGGGCGGATCACTTAAGGTCAGGAATTCGAAATCAGCCTGGCCAACATGATTAATCCTTATTTCTACTAAAAACAAAAAAAATTAGCTGAGTGTGGTGGTGCACACCTGTAATCCCAGCTACCCAGGAGGCTGAGGGATGAGAATTTGCTTGAGCCTGGGAGGTGGAGGTTGCAGTGAGCAGAGACCACACCACTGCACTTTAGCCAGGGCAACAGAGCAAGACTTCATCTCAAAAAAAACAAACAAATCAACAACAACAACAAAGGCAGTGAATTGTTTATGATGACCTAAATGTTATTTTAAATATCCGGATAAGCTTTTCCCATAGTACACTAAGGCACAATCAGCTCTCCATTTCCGTGAACACTGCACCCATGAATCCAGCCAACTTCAGATTAAAAATACTTTCGGGGAGAAAAGAAATTCTACCAACTTCAAGAGGCAGAACTTGAAGTGACGTGTAGGCATTTCATTAGGTGTTATTAGTAATCTAATTTGAAATATAGGAGAGAATGTGCTGAGGTTACAGGTAATTACTACCCGAGCCATTTTCTATCAGGGACTTGAGCATCCACAGATGGTCCTGGAATCAATCTCCCTCACACACCGGAGACTCTGCTGTATTTAGTTTATCCCCCAAAGACCAGCTGTGATCTAAAAACCCTCATCTTCAGCTGTTTCCTGAGTCATTTTCATTATTACCTGGGGAGCTTTTTTTAAAGTAAAGAATCCAGGACTTCACCCAAGTCTCCCGAATTAATTTCCAGAGGGGATTCCAGGATCTGTTCTCCATCAAATGCTTCCCCAGGCCATGAGCCATGTCTGTCACTGGCTTGCCACAGACATACTCTCATTTTGCAGATTAGGAATCTGAAATCAATGTCGCATTCATCCTACTGGCCCACGGGCTGCCTCCAATTTGCAATGCTTTTGCATATACTACCCCTGCCTCCTTTCCGGACCTGGAGAACTCCTACTCATCCCACAAAGCCTAGCTCAAGAGCTGCCCCATTTGTGAACCTTCGCAGCATGCACTAGGAATGGCACTAAGTTCTGAGCTACCTTAGCCTCAGCTTCATGCCGCAGAACCACATTATTTCACCTGGATAAGCTTGTGCCTGTGGTCCCTTTATTGAGGGGGGAGGCGGGTTCCTGGGGCCAGGACTGGGTATGGACATTGCTGTGCTCCTAGACCTGCATAGAAGTGAGTTTTCCAGCGCGGGTGAGAATGGCCCTCTCTGATCCCTGCACGAGCAGGGTAGGGTTAGTGCGCAGCCCTCCCACAGCCTCCCCTCAGGCCCAGGACTCACTGTGCTGCTCTGGGAGGCGCTGCCCTGGGAGCTTGAGAGCCTGGCCCATTCTCTTTGCGATGGACTGAACCGCACTACTACGGTCACCCAGTTCCTCCCCGACTCGTCCTCGTAGATGCCAGGCCTTTGGATCCACAGACGGGCGGGGGGCGCCCTTGGATGCAGAGAAGCTTGGGAGGCCATGGCAAGCCCACACCCGGGGCTGGCCTCCAGGCGCACATGTGAACCTTTTCCAGGTGCGCAACCTCCTTAAGTGGAGCAGCTCCGGCGTGGGTGGGGCCGGCAGTGGGGGCAGGATCAGTACGGGGAGGAGAGGAGAGGAGGGAGGAGGAAGGAAAGAGGAGGAGGAGGAAGAGGAGGAGGAGGGGAGGGAGGAGGAGGGGAGGGAGGAGGAGGGGAGGGAGGAGGAGGAGGGGAGGGAGGAGGAGGAGGGGAGGAAGGAGGAGGAGGGGAGGGAGGAGGGAGGAGGGGGGAGCAGGGGGAAAACAAGCAACCCGCAGCAGGGGCTAGGCAGGGGCAAGGCCAAAGACCTGGGTCTCCTGGAGGGGCAGGGGCTGGACTGTGAGCTGCTGGGGGCAAAATGGTGGCTCGCAGGGATAGCGCTGCCCAGCCTTCACCCCAGGCTTCTGTAAGGAATTTGTCTTCTAAAATCAATTCCACCTCCTTTCCACTGGTCCCAGTTCCTGGGCGGCCTCCTCTCTGAGCACCCCTGCCCAATTTTCTAGCAGGTGATTCCCCTCCTTTGCTCCTGGCAATCCCCCTGCCAACCACTCTGCCCCAGATCCTGAGCTGGCATGCACGACCCTGGTCTCTCCCACCCCTGTGGCCATTCCTTTAACAAGACTCTGTGTCAGGGACTCAGGGACTCTTCTTTGAGCTAAAGCTCAGAGGTTGGGGGAAGGGGGGCGCTGTAAACTCCGTGGACTCTTTCCCCTGGAGATACCTGGTGAAGGCACATCCTGCACAAATCAAGCTCCTTCTCCTTAGAAAATAAGCCAGTGCATTATCAGCATCTGAGATCAGGATCAGATAAGGCCCACGAAAACAAGGCCATAGGAGGGCACGTGGCCACCTGGCCAGCCCATCCTCGGCCATGGGGCCCAGAGTGCTCATTTGGCCTGGTCATCTTATTGGTTCCACTTTGTCAAGAGGCCACAGAAGCTCAAGAACATAGCAAGAAGCAGGTCCCTTCTATAAGCACCCTGGGCTGCTTCTAAATGCACCATGAATAGGAGCCTTTTCCTTTTGAAAACCACAAACATGATTCTTGTAGTTCAAGTAAAATTAGTGTTGAGATGATGCCATTCCCCTGGGGAGATGTGAAAATGATCTCTGGGCAGTCCTGATCCAGTGTAAGTGGCAGGTAGGATAACCACTTTTGAAGAACTCACTGGGCAGCTTCTGCGGAGGTCTGAGCCTTGTTTTCATAACAATTCCACCTCCTTCTCCAGTGCTTTCCAAGGAACCAGCACTTGGGGTGGGAATGCAGTGGGCCCAGAAGACAAGGGACATCACATTCTCATATAATGTGATCCATACATGGAATCACATATGTGTGTCACCTTTGCCATAGTCTGTTGGTGAGAGGAAGGTCCTACCCTTACTCAAGGTTGTGAATACCAGGAGGCAGGGATCATGGAGAACCCCGGTCTCCTGGGCCCCTGGAAGCCTGTTTGCTGTAAGTACTGACCCTATGGGACCCCTCTGAAGATCAGATGAGGCTGTGAGTAAAGTGTTAAAGCCTGACACATAGCGAATACTTGAAATACGCTGGTCAATAGTCTTGTTCTCAGACTTGTTCCCTCTCCCAAGCAGACTCCATCAGTCCTACCCTGGCAACCACAATGCAACTACTGTTTCTCTCACTTCCTATTGCAAATATATACATATTGGTATTCTCAGCCTCGCTCCCCAATGGGCATAGGTGTGGCTATCAGGAGGCTGGTGGTAAAGGTTGCTTAATATGTGGGGAGCCCCTATGCCATGTCAGGCATTTTTCATAGAGTATCTCATTGACACCTCCCACCAACTCCATAAACTGTCACCCCCGTTTCATAGATGAAATATCAGAGGCTTGAGTGGCTTAGTAACCTGAACGAAGTGGGTGGCAGAGGGATACGGACCCCGCTGTTCCTGGCTCTAACATGTATGCTGCTGGTTGCCCACCTTGGCCAAGTTTGGCTTATTTCATGAAAGAGGCAGAACCTGAGTAGGGAGAGCCACAGTGGCTACTGTGGAAATGGTGGTGGGGTCTGAAGGTGGAGACTGAGAACACCTCCCCATGAGTGGGTGGTCAGAAGGTAAGTAGAGGTCTCCACAGGCAGAAAGGAGTAACTACCAGTCTCACCTATCACCCTCCTTGGCCCGGTCTCCCACCCCTCATCCCTTGGACCTGCACTGAAAAAAGCCCCAGAGCTGCAGGCGGGAACAGTTTGGTCCCTGGTCCTTCAGCTGGCCTTTGTCCATGTCATGTCTGAGATAAGGCTATGTCTTCTGGCCAAGTTGTCCATCTCTGGTACCTGTGACCTGAAGGCTTTGCTCTCCAGGATGGATGTCACCAACGTCTTTGAGAAGCACTTTGATCTCGCCAGAATTGCTCCCAGGATTGCCTGGTCCTGACAGTGCGCTCATGCCTGGGCTCAATGCTCTCCTCCTCCAGCAGAGGGAGTCCTTCACAAGCCCCAAGCCCCTGGGATATGGCGACGGGACTCCCTCTTGCCGGGAGGGTTCCAGACCACAAATAAGGGGGCACACTGTGCGGGGCTTGAGAGGCTGTTAAGAGTCACTAAAACCTCTGCACGTTTCTGTTCAGCTCCTCCTGGGTACTGGGCCAAAATGGCAGGGCAGACAAGATGCCAAAGGCAGACAGCCTAGATGCTGTGTGGTTCAGACGTAACTGGCAAAGTTATCGCACTGAGGAAGCAGCACGAGTAGATGTGGAGGAGAGGTAATTCAGGGTGTGTCTGGAGATCAGGAATAATGAGGATTATCCAGGCTTGTATGATAAAGAATAAGAATACGGTGGGGGAGGGGGGGCGGTCAGGGGGTGGCGCTGATGCTCCATTGTAAGGATCAAACACGCCAGTCCCAGCAGCTGGTTTTGTGGAAGAACAATGAGTATTTGAGACAAGGCGTGACGTAAGTATGCACTTAATGTTTGAACTAATGATAAAACCAAAGAGTGGCTTAGTAATCAAGAGATCATGACTACTAGAGAAAGATTGGATGGAGATTGTGTAGATAATAATAAAAATGCGAACGTCCAAGTTCCAGCTCTGCTTATTTCAGACGGGGAGCCCAACAGACTTGCAAAGTGGTGAAAGAAACTCAACCCAACCATGGAACTAAAGAATGGGGGTTTAGGAAAGTTTTGCTTATTCTGAGGTAAAAATGTACACTATTTTCTTCTAAAGGTTTTATTTAGATTAATATTCCACGTTGATATCCAGTTAACTTAATGCCATTTATTTAAAAAACTAGCCTTTCTCTACTGTACTGTATTATCATGTCTGTCATAAATCTGGGAACATTTCTTTATGAGTCTGTTTCTGGACATTTTCCGTTCCATTAGTCTGTTCGTCTCTCCTTGTGTTGACACCACATTGCTAATTGCTACTGCTTTCAAATAGGTCTTGATATAGTAAGATTCTGTTTCTCCGGAGAACCCTAATACAGCTATTCTCTTCCCTTTGCATATCCACATGAATTTTAAAATCAGCTTGTTAAGCCTCCCCACCTCCAAAAGCCTGCTAAGATTGATTGGGATTGTGCTGAATCTATAGGTCTATTTAAAGAGATTTAACATTCCCACCATATTAAACCTTACAATCCAAAGCAATTGCATAGTGTATCCTTCCATATTATGGGTTGTCTTTAATTGTTCTGATTTCATTAAGTCAACTCTTAGTTATTTGATTGATGCTATTTTAAATGTTATTTTAAATTCTGTATTATGTCTGTTGCTGTCATGAAAAATGCAACTGATTTGTGTACATTGACACTATATCCAAAACCTAGATAAATTCACTTAACTCTAATAAGTTTACCGATTATTTGAGAAAATGTCTTAGCCATTATATCTTCAACTATTCCTACCTCATCCTTGCTTTCCCGCTCTTTCAGTGACGCCAATTGGACGTCGTCAGACACTTTAAACTGTTTACCATGCTTCCTGTGCTCCGTTCCATTTCGTTTCTGTTTTTTCCCTCTCTGAGCTTCAATTTTGGTGTTTTCTATTGGTTTATCTTCCATTTCACTAATGCTGACATCTGCTATATCCAATCTGCTCTCAAACAATTGATTGCTTGGTGCAAATATTATGTTTATTAGTTCTGGAATGCCCATTTGATGCTTTTTTTAATAGATTAAAACTTTCCCAATCCAAACCTCAAGAGATGGTTCTTGGACCTCATGCAAGAATTTGGGGCAAGTCCATAGGGTAAAGCTAAAGCAAGTTAATTATTTAAAAAGTAAAAGAATAAAGTGGCTACTCCGTAGGCAGAGCAGGCCGGATGGCTATTTTCATGGTCATTTCTTGATTATATGCTAAACAAAGGGTGCATTATTCATGAGTTTTCCATGAAAGGGGTGGACAATTGGAACTGAGGGCTCCTCCTCCTTTTAGACATATAGGGTAACTTCCTGACACGTCCATGGCATTCGTAAACTGTTATGGTGCTGATAGAAGTGTCTTTTGTCATGCTAATATATTATAATTCATGTATAATGAGCAGTGAGGATGACCAGAGGTCACTTTTGTCACCAGCTTGGTTTTGGTGTGTTTTGACTGGCTTTTTTACTGCAACTGTTTTATCAGCAAGGTCTTTGCGACCTGTATCTTGCGCCTACCTCCTGTCTCATCCTGTGACTTAGAATGCCTAAGCTCATGGGAATGCAGCCCAGTAGGTCTCAGCCTTATTTTACTCAGCCCCTGTTCAAAACGGAGTCCCTCTGGTTCAAATGCCTCTGAAAGTAGCATTGGCCTGTTGCAAACAACTTCATCTCACCCTAGGGAAGGGAGGGCTTTTTTTTTTTTTTAAGGTAGAAGGAATGAAGTTATGTCTTTGTGCTGATGGAATTGATGCAGGAGAGAATGCCTACAGGCAAGGTATAAACTTAAGGCAAGTACAGTGGCGAGGGCCCAAGGGGTGACTTGGCTTGAAGGAAGGAGGGGCTTTTGTTCCAGTATAACTGAAAGGAACACAGAGAATCCGCTCAGATGCAAGTAAGGGCAAGAAGAGGAAATTCCCTTCCTCCACCTTTCACAACATGAAATTACAAATGGTTATTTTGTAATTTTCTAAGACCTAACCTTGGAAAATCAACATATGAAAATATTAAGAACATGTTTATGACCTTGGATAGGAATGACCTTCCCAGAGACGATGCACAAAGTAAAAGCATGACACATATATGACCTAAGATGTATAAACAACTTCGTATGACAATACATGAATTTTTTTTTTTTTTTTTTTTTTTTTGAGATGGAGTTTCGCTCTTGTTACCCAGGCTGGAGTGCAATGGCACGATCTCGGCTCACCGCAACCTCCGCCTCCTGGGCTCAGGCAATTCTCCTGCCTCAGCCTCCTAAGTAGCTGGGATTACAGGCACGCGCCACCACGCCCAGCTAGTTTTTTCTATTTTTAGTAGAGACGGGGTTTCACCGTGTTCACCAGGATGGTCTCGATCTCTCGACCTCGTGATCCACCCGCCTCGGCCTCCCAAAGTACTGGGATTACAGGCTTGAGCCACCGCGCCCGGCGACAATACATGAATTTTTAAAAGTGACCAGCATTAAGTGAAGATGGTAACAATATAGAGCAAAGTGTTAGTTTCCAGGATATGTAATGAACTCTTATAGATCAGCAAGTAAAAGGAACAACCCATTGGAAAAACAGGGAACAGCTAGAATTCACAGAAAATGAGATGAAAATGGCCAGTTGCTATATGAGAAGCTGCTCAGTCTTACAAGTAATCAGGAAAATGCAAATTTTAAAAGTGAGATACATTTTTTAAATCTACAGTAGTGCCAAACAAAAGCACTTGACAATATCACATGTTGGCAAGTAATATCCTTTGCCTGACTGACCAGGCCCCTTCTTCACAAGGAACTGGCGAGGGGGAGCCAGGCTCTTCCTCCCGTGGTCACCCTGGCCAGTCAGTTTCCACAAAACTAGCACAGCAGGCTGCACAGGCCAATACAAGTTTCTTCACCGAAAGGTGGGTTTCTTTCAAAAGGACAATTTTGATGCAAGATAGACAAATGTTAGAGTTTGAGATTTTTGCAAGACAAAACATCTAGTAACTTCAGTATTCACCAGGAGAAATTCCCCCGTGGTGTGCCCCTCCAGCCCTTTATCCTGCCTGCCTTCAGGATCACCCCTTGTCTCATAGGTACTCATTTTTTAGGTCTCCTTGAATAGATTCTATCCTGCCCACAAGTGAGCCCTTCCCATGCCAAGTTTCCATCTAACCCTTGGTCTGGAGTAGGTGCAGGCTTCAGCCAGGTGGAAGCTGCTGAGGCCGGCGGCGGGTGGGGGCGCTGCCTAGCCGTGGATGCTTGGGTAATGGGAAGCAGTGTAAAGTTAGGATGATGGGCTCCAGCATGTTGGCCAAGGATGAGCCTGGCTTCTCTCATTCAAGTTTCCTCATTGGCAAGAACTGTGAGCCTGCCAGTTCTTTTATTAATAGATCTATATAGTTGGCACTTCTCCCAAGGACAGAACTTTTTCCCCCATAGGAAAAGACAGTCTAAAACCAAATTGAGGAAACATCACTTTCTCCGGTAGCACAGGCTCATCTTGCCCTTGCAAACTTTGGTCTTGTTATTGTCAGAGGGTTTTCAGTTTCTCCCCGGCTCCATTGAGAAGTGGGTGGGGAGAGGTGTATTTATCTTTCATAGCTGAGCTTTACTGGAAGAGGACCAAGGGATAAATTCATTCAGCCCGGCCATTCTTTTGCCTTCCCCATACAAATGGAGAAAGGTTCCTCCAATGCCATAGGATTTTCCATTTGCAAATGAGTCAGGAAGCCAGGGGCACACAGCATCCAGCCTATGGCAGGAACTCTTGCCTCCCTTTCAGTCAGAATAATTGTCTCCCACCTTTTTTATTCAGACTTCTTTTATCACATCAGTTTCTGACTTGGCCTACAGCATGTAGGTTTATATTGCCTGGATCCTATTTCAGGCTTTCTATCTGTCTCCCCTAGATTCTGGCTCCCAAACAAAAAGGGGTCCGGGAATATTTAAAAGTGAAATGGGTGAGTTGCCTGACCCCCGTCCCATGACATGTGACAGAGGCATGGCTCTTACTTTCAGCTGCCACATGTTCAAACCCCTTACAAGGGGAAGCATGCAGCCAGGCAGGTGCAGGAGACAGGGCAAGCACTTTTTTGGTCTCTGGCCCCATGGTAGCATCTATGGGTGGGTGTCTGCGACTCCCTGACCCCAAGTGGGCACATGTTACAGTGTTCTGTTAGCCTTGCTGTCCATGGATGACTTAAGTGTCAGACCCTTTTGGTACCTAGGTCTTTGTCCAGCATCCAGGAAGAATCAGGTCACACTCAAACTTGAAGGATGAAGGCAGGGGTTTTATTGAGTGGTGGAGGTGCCTCTCAGCAGGATGGATGGGGAGCTGGAAGGGCAATGGAGTGGGAAGGTGATCTTCCCCTGGAGTTTGGCCATCCCGTGGCGAATCTCCTCTCCACTCCCCCTCAGCCCAATCCCTCTCAATGTTCGGACACTCCTTCTCTTCTCTCTTCTGTGCCATTCTGCCATTCTTCTGCTCTTCTGTTTGTCTCATCTGCTTCTGGAGCCTGGGGTCTGGGATTTATATGATACAGGATGGGGGGCATGACAGACCAAAAGGCAACTTTTGGGCATGAAAACAGGAATGCCTGTTCCCGTTTAGGGTCGTGGGTTTCCAGGTTTGAGGGTAGAGCCTTTGCCAGGCAACTGCCCTATTCTACCCAGTATTTCCCTGTCTCCTGTAGGTATCAAAAGCATATAGAGTTTGATGGTGAACAGCCCCAAATCCAAAGGTTTGTTCTACCTCTTACTAGTTGTGTGACTTTGACCTTATATCTTAACCTTTTTGAACTTCCTATTCCTCACTTGTAACACAAAGATGCCTTCTACCTTACTATGTTGTTGTAAGAAACGGTAATCACATTTGTAAAACCCCTGGCACACAGGAGATCATCAATGTTAATTTATCACCTAGGGGGCAGAAACTGTTCCTTATTCATCTCCATGTCCTCAGCATCAAACCAGTGCCAGAAACATTGGAAGGACCCAGAGAGTACTTGTTGGATTGAAATATCCATTAGTCAAATTGTTTCCTGGGTCAAAACAGTTCTAGCCAAATTCAACATGAACCCAGAGGTGTGCTGAAAATATAACTCATTCGGAGACTCCCTTCCTGCCGACTCCTCATAGAAAATGTACTCAGGAATGGAAGTGTTCACAGCAAAACAAAGGCCCTAGGTATTGAGAGTCTGCTGTGAAATAGAGAGGTCTGAGGGGTCAGGAGAAACAAAGCATCAGCCAGCACAGATGGTTCCCTGGGGTCTTCGTAATTATCATGTCTTCTCTTGCAGGTCTGCTGTGTGACTGGTCTATTTAGGTTAGCGGAGTTGCCAAGGTGAGAGGTGCACTCTGATTGGCCATGAAGGTGGCCCTTGTGTGCCTGGAGCTTTTCCTGATTGTGGTACAAAGCTGCATCATGCAGTGCATGAAGATTCACCTGCATCTTCCCTCTGCTGCCTCTCCCTCTGGCTCTTTGGGCTTTGGCTTTAAATGGTTCTTCATTTAATCCATCAGAATGACCCAGAAGGAAGGAATTGTTTGTAAGTGGGTCACTCCCTCAAGCGTGGTGGCAGCCTTCTTGTGATGAAGAAATTGGGTCTTTGCAAATAGTAAGTATCTAACCAAAGGCTGGGGTGAGGGGAGAGAGGCCCGCATGAGTTACAAGCTCCCCAAGGACACTGTGTTCCTCTCCTCATTTCAGAGATGAAAAACCAAGGCTCTGAAAGCAATCATCAGGTTAGGCATGGTGGCTCACACCTGTAATCCCAGCACTTTGGAGAGCTGAAGTGGGTGGATCACTTGAGCCCAGGAGTTTGAGACCAGCCTGTGCAACATGGCAAAATCCCATCTCTACAAAAGATAAAAAATTAGCCAGGTGCCATGGTGCATGCCCTATAGTCCCAGCTACTCAGGAGGCTGAAGTGGGATGATCGCTTGAGTTCGGGAGGTTGAGGCTGCAGTGAGCCATGATCATGCCACTGCACTCCAGCCTAGGAGATAAAATGACACCTTATCTCAAAAAAAAAAAAAAAAAAAAAGTGACCATCACTTAGCCAAGATCACAGAGGTAGCTAGTGGAGGAGCTAGAATCTGACCTTTAGCATGTTTGATTCCAAAGTCCAAACTCTCTTCCACGACACGACAGGTTCTTGGTAGACACTGCAAACTCTGTTCACTGATTGACAGAAGTCAGGCTGGTATTCATGAGCTGACCACATATGCCCCAGTAACTCAGCAAGCCTCTCCAGTTACATTGCCAAATACTAATCACTCATTTAATTCACACAGGGTACCTGGGGTCCAGCTCCAAGCTACTCCGTAACAACAGAGGGGACCATCTTATTTACAGTCAGGCCTCGTGAGATCCAACTTATCTAGGAGATAGTCTGGGGATAAAGTGGAGGGGCCTCACTGCACAACTCTAATAGATGGAATGCCTGATTTGCAAGGCCATGCTGCTTGAATATCTGAGGTCCCAGGGATGCCAGCCAACCTTCCTGGCTTTCTGAGGTTGACAGAGGAAGTAACCCAACTATCCCTCCTCTCTGTACATACAGATATTACAAGGACCCTCCCATCCTTAGAAACAAGCCTGCCCACCACCATCTTTTCATGATGAAAGTCAATGTATGTGGGTTAAAAACACAGATTCTGGGCCAGGCGCGGCGGCTCATGTCTATAATCCCAGGACTTTGGGAGGCCAAAGTGGGTGGATCACAAGGTCAGGAGAACGAGACCATCCTGGCTAACGCAGTGAACCCCTGTCACTACTAAAAATACAAAAATTAGCTGGGCATGGTGGTGGGCGCCTGTAGTCCCAGCTACTCAGGAGGCTGAGGCAGAAGAATCGCTTGAACCCTGGAGGCAGAGGTTGCAGTGAGCCGAGATCACACCATTGCACTCCAGCCTGGGAGACAGAGCAAGACTCCATCTCAAAAATAAAATAAAATATAAATAAAAACACAGATTCTGGAACCAGACTGCCTGGCTTCAAATCCCAGCTCTGGTATTTACTAGCCATGTGAATTCCAGGATGTAACTGACCTGTCAAAAGGTATAATGAAAATACTACATACTTTGTATAATTGTTAAGGATTAAATGAACTGAAATGTGCTGAGTTTTTAGAACAGTGTCTGGAACACAGTAAGTGCCTTAGGTATTGTTATTATTGAGTATCATGCTAGCTCTCCAGCCTTCCCTTTAAAGCCAGACTTCTCAGAATAGGCTAGAGGCACTAACCCTCAAGCCTGACAGTTAGTACAGACCATCTCATAATCTTGTTTCCGCCAACCTACCCCCAGCCTCCACTGAAATTGCTCTTTTAAAGGGCCCCCGGGGCCTCCTTCCAGAAGGTGATGGATGATGAGTTTCTTTAGCAGAAGCCATCCCACTAACTCTGCCACCTGCCACACTGCAGCCCTTCCCACCTTCTCAACCCTCTGGTTTTCCTTTGGTTTCCATGCCTTGACACTGGCAATTCTCACTTTTTGACATACTAAGTTTAAAATGTTAGGTGGAGCTAAAATTAACCATCATCCATCTCTTAAAAGCTTTCCCACTAAACTTTTTCTCTTTTAAATAGGGCCTCACTCTGTCAACCAGGCTGGAGTATAGTGGTGCTATCACAGCTCACTGCAGCCTCGACCTCCTGGTCTCAAGCAATCCTCTCACCTCTGCCTCCAGAGTGGCTGTGACTACAAGTGCATTCCACTGCACGTGACCCCTGCCAGATTTCTGATAACAGCATGTATTTTTCCCCACCATTCACCTTTCTAGTCAGAGAGCTCTGGTAAATGAGGCTTCACTGAACACACAGAGCCCAAGATGTGACTGTTTAACAGCCATCCATCTTTATCCATCAAACTGGATTCCCTAGTGTCCAGAGAAAAGGTTGTTCCCATTTTCATTATGCTACAGGGACCTACTATGGAAGATGGGCAAGCACAGAAGGAAGGCAGAAGCAATGAACAGCCACCAAATATACACAGACGTGCAATGTACAGCCAAGTCCACAGTCCTGTAAACTGCTGGATTCATCACCCATCAATCCTCCTTCCCAGTGTCTAGAATCATTCACCCCGCTGCAACCTCAGCGCTGAACCAGCCCTGAGTCCAATTCTACCCTGATTTAGAGAAGGGGAGTGGATTAGGCTGGGTACCGTGGCTCATGCCTATAATCCAAGCGCTTTGGGAGGCCAAGGCAGGCAGATCACCTGAGGTCAGGAGTTTGAGACCAGCCTGACCAACATGGAGAAACCCGGTCTCTACTAAAAGTACCAAAAATTAGATGATCATGGTGGAGCATGCCTGTAGGCCCAGCTACTCAGGAGGCTAAGGCAGGAGAATCGCTTGAACCCCGGAGGTGGAGGTTGCAGTGAGCCGAAATCATGCCATTGCACTCCAGCCTGGGCAGCAAGAGCAAAACTCCATCTCAAAAAAATAAAAAAAGGGGAGTGGATTAAAGACTTAGTACCTCTGAGAATTCTGCAACTCCAGCCTGTCTGCTATCCAATACTAATGTTCAGAGTCCCCACTTTGAAACTAGGGTTCGAGTCCCCACACCCCAGTCTTTCCATCAAAGATCTGCCTTAGTACCAACACTTCAGGGAGCCTCTTCTGCGCCCAACCACCAATATACAAACACCCCTACACACCATGCACACATACACCTACATACACACACACACACACACACACACACACACACACGCACACTCATCCTTCCCAAACACCGGAGGCCTGCATCTGACCCAGGGCTGTGCCTCAGGCCTCGAGCCCTGATCTCTCTGATGCTGAGTGGATAGACAGGAACCATGTCTTCTTGCTGTCTACAGTAGGCTTGGCACATAATAGGTGCCTGATAAATGGCGAAGAACCGAATTCCTGCTGCCTCATGCCTGCTGCAAGAAAAGTCATAAAGAACAGCGTAAAGAGTACGTACCTGGGGATGAGACAGCCAAGCCTGGATCTGGGTTCTGACGCTACATTCCAGATCGTGAACACATTGCTCAGCCCCTTTGCACCTCGGTTTCCTCAAGGCTGTGAGGATTAGCAACGACGTGGAAATGTGTGCTGTAAAAATGCCTGCCTGGGTTTCATCCTGAGGAATAGCGGTATGAAAACAGAGTGTTACAACTCCCCTCCCCTTTGAGAGGGGAGAGAAATCAGAAATAGAACTTTTTCTTTAGGAAAAGAATCACTTGTAATGAAAAGAAACCGTGAAGAAATCACCGTACCTTTGTTTATCCAGTGCAAAAACGCTGCCTCTGCGCTGAAACATTGGTAGGGCCATCTGGGTTATGAAGTGTGATGGGCAAAAATCAAAGGTCTCAACTCAGATCTCTCCTCTGAGTTTTCACCCTCCCTAAGCTTTCTGATGTTCAGGGTCTGGAAATGCAAGCGATTTCTCAGCTGTGCACTCTATCTTTGCCTCTTTATAAAATAGAAATCGGGAGGCTGGGCGCGGTGGCTCACACCTGTAATCCCAGCACTTTGGGAGGCCGAGGCGAGTGGATCACGAGGTCAAGAGATCGAGACCATCCTGGTCAACATAGTGAAACCCCATCTCTACTAAAAATACAAAAAATTAGCTGGGCATGGTGGCGCGTGCCTGTAATCCCAGCTACTCAGGAGGCTGAGGCAGGAGAACCCAGGAGGCGGAGGTTGCGGTGAGCCGAGACTGTGCCATTGCACTCCAGCCTGGGTAACAAGAGCAAAACTCCGTCTCAAAAATAAATAAATAAATAAATAAATAAAAATAAAAATAGAAATCAGGCTGGGAGTGGTGGCTCACACCTGCAGTCTCAGTGCTTTGGGAGGCCAAGGCAGGAGGGCTGCTTGAGCTCAGGAGTTTGAGACCAGCCTGTGCAGTATAGCGGGATCCCATCTCTACAAAAAATAAAAAATAAAAATAAAGAATAAAATATAAATCAGAACCCTATATTCTGTGCAGACTTCTAGCTTTGTGAAGCACATTTTATATTACTGCATGAAGCCGTGAAATCTGGCAAGTGTAGGAGATTGCTGAGTGTTATCACTCGAGATACACATGTCAGAATTTGTTCTTGTTCGAGATGTTTTTAAATGTTCTCTTCCTCTGCCCTCCTCCTCCTCTGGGTGTTCCCCAGCACTGTAACTCCAGGTGCCTTTAGTGTTTGAGTGGGCAGCTTTCCCTGTTGAGTCTCCCTGTTGGAGGGATGTGTAACCAGTTTCTGTTGATAAAAGTGTTTTGGACAATTTCAGAAACTAAAATTCATCTTAAAATATAGCCGCGACTGTTCCTGCTGTCGTTAGTGTCGAATCCTCATGTATCAGCTGTCCTCAGACAGTGGTGGTCACCCACTTGCTAAGATACCAAATTTACCTCTTTGAGGGGTTTCCCTCCTTCTACCTTCTGTCACCTGACTTTCATTTCTTTAATCAATATTTCTCGGGCTCCTGCTTTGTGCTGACCTTGTCCTAGATGCAGCAGAGCCAGAGGCGAGTGGGACCGGCACGTTCCTCCCTGCGTCATCCATGTCTTTTCTAGCAGGGGAGCAGATGACAAACAAAACCAACTGATGGTATTTTAGAAGGCAATAAAAGTGTTATGGGAAAATCAGGCCCTGTAATGGGCTGGTGTGATGGATGAGGGTACCATGTCAGACTACAGTGCCAAGGAACACCCCCTCAGAAGAGGATATTTGAGCAGAGAGAGCCAGCTGCGTGATCTGGAAAGGGGGCACAGATTCCCAGGAGACAGAAACAGTGGGAGGGGCCCAAAAGCGGAACAACCTGGGGTGTCTGAGAAACAAAGGCTGAGAAGAGGAGGGGAGGGGATCTTAGATGGGGTTAGGAGGTGAGGACAGGCGGCAGGTCCCACAGGGCTGTGGGCCAAGGTTTCATTCCAAGAGCTGAGAGACCAAGGGGAGTGGATTAAAAGGATCCGTCTTGTGGCCCTGCAGAGTAGGCACTGTAGGGTTTGAGAGCAGAAGCCAAGACCACTCAGGAGGCTGTTGTGAAAGTCCTAGTAAGGGATGAGGTGGTGTGGACTGGAATGGTGGAGAGAGGTGTTGAGAAGGCACTGGAGGCAGGATCTATTTCGGAGCTGATAGGACTGGACAGTGGGCTGAGGTGGCTGTGAGGAAAAGAGAGCAAGGAAAGTTGGCCCTCTGCCTCCCCAGTACCTGCTTCACCAGCCTTCCTGACTGGCCAAGACCCCGGCCCAGCTCCCACCTCCACCGAAGCACCATCCTGATTTCCCCCCTCACAGTCTACATACTCCAGAGCCCTCTCCTTTCTCACCTGCACTCTCACCTCCCCAGCTTCTGTTCCAACTCCAGGAAGGAGGAGGGAGAAATGTACATGACTCGAATCTGCAATGGCAGCTGCTCTTGGCCCAGCGTGAATGTGTCTGGGATGTAAATCTGTTGTCTCTCTGGATAAAACAGGAAACAATTACTCATGCAGATGAAAAACTTTTATTCCCCTCCTTGACAGCTAACATCTCAAGGAGCCTTTACTATGTCAGTCCTCAGCTGAGACAGAAGCAAATACTTTCCATCTGTAGTCTCTGGGATCATGTAAGGCAGCTCCTGGTTTAATAATGAGCTTCTGATTTCTGGCAGGACCACGGAGGTACAAGGCATGGGGAGGAGGAAGGCAAAGAACAGCAAGAGAGGTTCTAGGGAAGCACATCTAAGAATTGCAGGGGGAAAGCTGTTTCGAAGTCAGGGGAAGTCAGATACGCCACTGGTTTAGCTACTGAGATGATACAGGGGCTCCTGGGAGAGATGAGCCCTTAGACAGGCCCTGGGCAGGAGACAGGGACCAGAACTGAAATTTATGGCCCTGGGTTGCAAGCTGGGGCTTGTTATTTCATTTAATCATTCAACAAATCTTCATTGAGCGTCCACAATGTGCCAAGCCCTATGTAAATTTCACTTTAGGTACTGGCAGGGGTAGGAGGGGATTGACGAGTAAACAGAAAAATTACGATGCAAAGGAAGCATTAGGAGAAACCAGCGCAGATTTGGATGCTGCTAATAAGAGCCCAGAGAAAGTGCATCTAAGCAGAGGCCTTAGGATGAGATGGGCAAAGGCAGAGGAGATGGAATTCGAGGCAGAGGGAACAGCATATGCAAAGGCAGAAAGACAGGAGGTGCTCAGCGGGCCCAGGGAGTTGCTAAGAGCTCAGTGTAGTTGCAAAGTAGATTGTAAAGTGTGGAAGGCAGCATCTAAAATGGCTTTCATGTTCTTCACCTTCTGCAGTTTATCATTTGCACAGTCCCCTCTTTTCCTTGAATGTAGGCATGACCTGTGTCTTGCTTCTAACCTGTAGGAAACAGGACAAAGGCAACGTGATGTGTGGTTCTACATGCTTATGTAGCTATATTACATAAGATATGCTGCCCATCTTGCTGGCATCTCTTACTTCTTTGCTGGATTCTAATAAGCAAGGAGCCAGCTGGGCAACCTCACGTGGCAAGGAATGAGAGCAGCCTCTAGGGGCTGTGAATGGCCTCCAACCAGCAGCCAGAGAAAGCGAGGCTCTCAGTGATACAAGCACAAGGAAGTGAACCCTGCAAGTTCAGACAATCATCTAAGGCATCCTTGTCTGGTCAAGTATTCAGATGAGACTGCAACCATGGCCTGCACCTTGATTTCAACCTTGTGAGACCCTAAGCAGAGGGCCATGGCCTGACTCCTCAGCCACAGAAGGCATGTGGTAATAGATGCGTATTGTTTTAAGCTGCTGGGATTGTGTTGCTTTGTTCCACAGCAATGGATAACAGACAGGAGAGGAGAGTGGAGAGAGACGAGGGTCAGGTGGTGGATGGCCTTGCAAGCCACAGAAGGAAATCTGGACTGACAAGCTCACTGACCTGGGATAAGTCAGTTATTTTTGTAGGGCCTCAGTAAATTGGACTACATGATCTCAGAGATAAAGCATGGATATGACGAGCTAGAGTTCAGCGGGCCTGCCATCAACTAAATGAGGTTCCAGAGCACGCCAGAGATAATTTCTTTGTAGCCACTTTGGAAAGAATGTGGTGACCCCAGAAGTCAGCAGCTCTCACCAGCTCACCAGGTCTAACTTCATTTTCTTCCTTGAGGGCAAAGACTCAGATCTGACTGTGCCAGTGGAAGAAGAAATTTGCTTAAAACTGGGGACAACAAACCACAACACTCAATGCTGGAAGCCTCCCTCTTTCCTCTCTACTTCAGAATTGTTTAGGTCTAAAATAAGGTAATAAAGAATGTAGCGTAAAGACTTGTATATCCCCCTACCATATCACAACAACTACAAATCCACCATTATGTATTCTTATGACTTATTTCACGCAAACAAAGCTATGTGCTTGTTGAGTGCCTAACCACCACAGTGGTATGCTTTGAGAGGCCTCCCAGGAAAGGACACTATCCTAAAAAAAATTCTCCCTACGTTTATTATCTCTCCACTGTAACTGCATTCTTTGGGGTCTTGGATATTTGCAATCTTCTACTGCAGTGTTTCCCAGAAAATAATGTACACAGAAATTGCCTGGGAATGGTGCTAGAATGCAGAATCAGATCTGGTAGGTCTGGGAGGGGGCTTAAGATTCCGCATTTCTAACAATTCATGGGTGAGACCAACGCAGCCAACCTGGGAAGTTATGCTTTCAGTGGCAAGAATGATATTCTCAATTCAACCACATAGTGATTGAAATCACCTGGAAACTTTAAAAACACCCAGTGCCTAAGTAGCATCTCAGACCAAGTAAAACAGGATAGTGGTAGGGCCCAGGCATCAGGACTTTTTTAAGCTCCTGGGCGATTCCAATGGGTAGCTGAGCCTGAGAACTATGTATCACTAAGCCCTGGGGTAACCTCCAACACCATGGTAAGCAGGTAACGCCTTTAGGACTTCTCAAACTTTATATGCCCAGGGTGATCAGGAGCTCACTAACACTGCAACTCTTGGGGCACCACCATGCGGATTCTAAATGCCCTGGACTGGGATCAGGTGTGTGCTGGTTTTTAAAGCACCAAGTGATTCTCATACAGGCGGTCCTTTGAGAACCCGCTGTCTTGATGTCCTCAAGGAAAATGGTCAGTAAACACCAAATTAATAGTTAACTTACTTTTCAACTGAAAAAGCTTAGTAACCCAGCTCTCTGGTTATCCACTAACTCCAAAGTTATCAACTAGTGCTTAGCTAATTACCTGCTTATAAACACCAGAATTCTAGCTCAGCTCCAGCAAAGATTAATCAATAGCTAGCAAAGAGAAATACAGACAAATGGACGAGAGCCAGAGAACACCAGAGACCAGGGCGAGGCTGATGAAGAAGCCAGAGCTGCGGCTGGACAGCCAGCAGCCTCTTTCCAAACCTGCCCCTCCACTGCATCATCGCTCAGGTTGCTCTTTTCTTCACTGCTTTCCTGGCTCACTTGAATCAATTTATAAGTGACGCCATACACCTCTCTGCCTCCTCCAGCCCCAGCGGGGTCTTCATCCCTCCCCAGAGGAGACTGGGGAGTGAGGATTAGCTTATCCAACTCTGGCTGAGGGCAGCTTCTGAAACAAAGAGGCTGCTTAGAACACGCCCGTGGAAAGAAGTCAAATTGAATTCATCAGAATTCCCTGCTTGTTGATGCTGGAGTGAAGCAGAGACATTCCATTCCACTCGAACCATTTTGTAGATGGGGAAGTGAGGCTTAGAAAACATGTCCCTTGAGCCTTGTTTTTAATGATGACAAAGAGACAGCCGTGTGTAGTACAAAGGGCCTTGAACCAGAGATGCAGAAATCTGGGCTTTAACTTGTACCTCTGCCGTGGATGCCCTGGGCGACTGCAGACAACCCACTGATTCTCTAAGTTTAGGAGAAAATCAGAAATTGCTGATTCATCACTTACTCAGCAAACATTTCTGGAGCCTCTTTGACGTGCCAGGCCTGGGGACAGCTATTGAAATACCTGGGCTTCAAACTGTAGCCAGACCACATCATGGGAGCTGGGTTTGGTCCTGCGGCCACGTGTCCACCTGGCTTTCGGTCATGTTTTCTCACTCACTGAGTCTTGTTCACGTATGTGTAAATGAGAGAAAAGAAGGTCTGTTTTTCAGGCTGCTGTGGAGATTGGACAGTAACGTGGGACGGTGCACAGAGCAGCCCTGGCCTGCAGAAGGCTCTCAAGCGGTAGACAACATTGGTCGATGGACTGCTGCAAAGAACCAGCAAGAGGCAGGACATTCAGTAGACCAGGGTCCACTCTGGAAACACCTTGTCCAAGCCACAAGCCTCTGGACATTTAGTAGGTGGGCTTAATTCGAAACATTTGTGGTCATGCTTCAGGATGTCACTTGTAATTCCCTGATCTGCAAAGAGGTGAACTTACTCACACTTCATAGCTTCAATCTAACATCTCAGGCACCCCATAAATACATACATCTACTGTGTACCCACAAAAATTATAAATAAAAAACTTTGTTATTATGATACAAAAAATAGCTTGAATCTAGTCAAAACTATAGACAAAATAATGAGTTTGACATTGTAGTAACTTTTCGGAAATACATAAATGCATATTAATTATTGCAATTTTCTATCTTTGCGGCAGTTAGAGCCTACCTGGGAAAAACTCCGAGAAATGGAAAAGCATTTTAGATGGGATGCAATCATGAACAAGGGGTAGACTGTGAAAATTTCCAAATGAGTGGCGTGAGTAGTAGGGGTGACCTGGGCTCCCAAAGGGGTCTCTGGCCATAGAGTGAGGCAGAGATTCCAGGTGAGCCCAGACAGGAGCAAGAAGGGGGTTGTGACCAGAGCTGGAGTCTGAGAAGGGCCTCCACTGGCCACCCTAAGCACAATGCAGATGTGGTACAATACCCAGCAGGGCCCTCACCCCCTTGTGAGCTTAGAGCCCCCAAGCAGCAGACAGGCAGTGGTGCATGCAGAGAGCTTTCAGCAGAACACCCCGCAGGTCCCTTTGGGTGTGCATATATGCCCCCGCCTCCTTTCTGCTCTCCGTTTCTGTCCCGTACCTTGAATCTCCCACCTCCAGAAGTGTAGGCAAGAAATTCCTGTTGTGTATAAGCCATGTAGGGTATGGTACTTTGTTATAGCAGCCAAACTAAGACAGTCTAAAACATGTTTCTGAGTCTGTGAAGTCTTCGAATACTTGTCAAAGGCCTGGCAACAGCGTTTGCAGGTGAGTCGTGGACTATTTCCCCATCAGAATATCCCAGTTTTACTAAGGCAAGACTATTCGCTCAAAAGCTATCATCCCACAGAAACCATAGCAGTTTAGTCAAGAAGAGACCAGAACCATTGGTACTACATTCTACTCCATTAAGTAAGGTGTGTGAACAGTGTCCTCTGGTGTGTATGATGAGCAGCTGCTGGAAGGCTGTAGCATGCTGAGACAGACCAATGGCATCTGAGGTGTAGTGACTTGGCCATCTGGCTTCCCACTATGTTTGCAGATTTGTGGCCATCTTGAGAATCAGCAACCACTGTTCCAATGTGTAAATATCAAATTCTCAGTAATAAGTCATCAAACTTTGAAGGATGTTTAAGGAAGAGAAATACCATTCATTTGACTTAGAGACACAAAAATGGCAATGGCTGCTTGGTTGATGGCTTCTTTAAAGAGAGCTAAATGGAGTCACCTTCTTCCAGTAAGCCAGTCCCTTTCTTGGCCATCCATAGCATGAAAGTTGGATATTGCACAGTGTGCAGGAGAGAAAGAATGAAGACATGGGAATATTAGAAAATGATTTCAGTTTTTAAAAACTAAAGATATTAAAATTTTTTTATTTAAATTTAAAAAAAAAGTCAAAGGCCTGGCAACAGCATTTGCGGGTGAGTTGCGAACTATTTCCCCATCAGAATATCCCAGTTTTACTAAGGCAAGACTATTCTCTCAAGAGCTATCATCTCACAGAAACCATAGCAGTTTAGTCAAGAGTGACTTGTGTAGTCTGGTGCAGTTCCCCAGAGATCTCTCTCCGCTCCCTGCCCTCCAGCCCCACCCCTGGTTCCAGGGAGGACCACACCAGGACAGGATCCAGCAGGACAGCAAGAAGGCAGCTCCCTGCCTTCCTGACTACAAGGTGCCTGTGGCTCTCAGACAGTGCAGTCACGGAGTAGTGGAGCTGGAGCAGGCAGACCCGGGTTCAAATTCCAGCTCTGCCTCTTATCAGCTGGCTGATCTGGGCACTTTCTTACTTTTCTGGCTTCTAACTCCTTCTCCGTAAAACTGAACATGAATACCTGTCTTCTTGAACACTGGATCTACCCAGTGTTTACTGGGCATCAGTTATGAGTTAGGCATTGTTCCTGTGTGAGACCCCAATGACACCTGGGGTGACCGATCATCATACTCATTAAAGCTTTCATTTATCAAGTGTTTCTTATATACCAGACCCTGGATGAAATGTTTTACAGCTAATATCTCATTTAATCTTCACTCAAACTCAAGCGGAGGTAGACTCATCCCATTTAGCAGTTCAGAAAGAGAAGTCTCAGGAGGTGAAACAAGCTGTCCAAAGAGATTCGGCTTAGCACAGCACAGGTGGGATGGAACAGGGCCTGGGGACACCAGCCTGCCTCCCAGCTCCTCCCAATGGGCTCTACACTTGGGACATTCTGGAGAAATGCTTGGGATTAGCCAAGGTCCTCGATCCCCTTCCCACCCTGCATTGCGCACAGGACCGGGTGCACTGAGTGTCCACACCAGTCAGGAGTGACTGATGGAGGGAGGAACATGTGACCAAGCATTCCACCTCCGATCAGGGGTCCTGCCCCTAAATCTCAGTGGGACCTCAGCCAAGTGGCTCCACATCTAGGTCTGAGCAATGAAGAGATGACAGTTGATATAGATATTTGGAGAGTTCTCAGAGCACTGATGAAATATAGAGTCATCATTTGGATCAGAGAGAGCTCATGTTGCTGGCCTTGGATGCTGGCCCACCACTCTCCAGCTTTGTGACCTTGGGTAAGTGACTTAACCTCTCTGAACCTCAATCCAACTCAATTTTCCTGTCTGTATACTAGGGATAGTAGTAATGCCTCCCTCACAGAGCTCAGAGGTTAAAGGAGACGGTGGAGGCAAGGTGCCAGAGCATGGTGCCAGGCCCCCACATGTGTGCAATGCCTTGTGCTGTGATCATAAGAAGAGCGGGTATGGTGGTAGCCACATTTCCCTGCATCCTCCTGGCCACAAGCATGGGAGGCAATGCCCAGTAAACCTGTGGAACTGAGTTGAATCCACTAATCCGAGATAAGAACCCATGTGCAGTGACACGAACCCACTTGCAGTTAGGGTAAAGACCTCCTAGGAAAAAAATATGTCCACAGTCCAGGATAGGAAGCTCAGTGGGAGGTTCACTGAGCAGGGCAGAATCTCTTTCCTTTCCCTCAATGATAGAGTCAGGCCTGTGTAGGGAGCTCCAAATGCAATGCCTTTCCCCAGCTGGTGGCTGCTGTTATGCTGAACCCCTGTCTACTCCAGTGGGGATGGCAGCAGGTTTGAGAGGCCAAAGAAGAGACCCAAGGCTGGTGAAGGAGACATGGCATTTTACTGGAGCCTTTGCAGGGGACAGCGTTTAGCAATAGTGGGCTAGGCAGGAGAACCACGTAACTTGGAAAAAGCATGCAGTGTATATAAGTGTCTCCACTTAGCACCCTCCCCCAACAGTCTCTGCCTGCAACATTGACCTAACCCAAAATAAGAGGCCTTGATCCCCTGTACTGCCTGTGTTCCACAGGATGGGACAGGAACTCAGGTGTTCCTCATAGATAAGGAATAGAAATGAATCTCCAGGTCGGCCATGCCCAGATTCCTTAGATTAGAGCTCCAAACCACATTCACCTGCACTTGCCGTAAGGGTCTTTCTCAGGGAACGCTTAAGTGATTGCTATCAGGTGCATTTCTCAAAAACCGCTTTTGGGGAGTCACCTGCTGGGTCTGGAGGCTCAGGGCCATTGTAGGAGAAGGTCCCCCGGGGTCAGAAGAGCCTGGTGATCTCAAGCACATCACCTCTCCAGGCCTCACCTTCCTCATGTGTCCATCCAAGGGCCTCTTCCTCTGTGTCACTCTGGGCTCCATCCTCTTGCATTTGGAGTCAGATGAGACCTGGGTTCAAATCCTTGGCTGGAGGGATGCAAGATGCACATGGAAAGAGAACCAATTCATCCTGTCCAGACTCTTCCAGAGCAGCTGGCCCCCTGCTGACCTGCCAGCTGACCCTGGATGCCACAGCAAGCCCAAGCCAAGGTGGGCCATGCCTGGCCTGGATTGACAGAAACACTCTGTATTTCGGTGTGGCTTGTCACAGAGCAATAGCTCACCAATGCCACCAAGCAGCAACAGAGCAGTGTGCGCAGTCCGACTGCCGGGGAGTGTTTCGTACATGGAGGCCGGAAGTCTTGACAGCACCTGCAGCTTACCAGCAGGATAGGTGTGATGCCTGCCGCTGTGAGGGTCCTTCTGCTACCTTGAGAGAAGCCAGCCTGGGGACAGAGCTGAGACTCAGGAGGAGACCCCATTCCCCACTTGTCCCCTCATGTGCTCCCACATGGCACAGATATTTGATGCTCACAGCTGTGCCAGGCATCTTACAAAGGTGAAGGGAAGGAAAAGCGTATAATGGGGATGCCAGCTCAGTGCCCTGACCTTTTGAACCAGTACTGGAAGCTTCTGTTTAGGGATAAAAATAAGCCCTTCTTATTTCAGTCACATTGGCAGGCTTTCTGCTGCCTGCTGCTGAAAGCACTCCTGTCTGATGTGCAGCGGCTGCCTGGTCCCTACAACTCCCTGATTTTTGCTAAACCAGGCCAGACACCAAGAAGCTCCCATTTGGTCTCCATGCCAGACGTCTGCATCTAGTTGGTGCACTTCTGAATGCAATTAAAAAGCTTGTTTGAGGCCAGGTGCGGTCGTTCATGTCTTTAATCCTTGCACTTTGGGAGGCTGAGGTGGGTGGATCACTTCATCAGGAGTTCAAGATCAGCCTGGCCAACATGGTAAAACCTCATCTCTACTAGAAATACAAAAATCAACCAGGTGTGGTGGTGCACACCTATAATCCCAGCTTCTTGGGAGGCTGAGGCAGGAGAATCACTTGAACCCGGGAGGCAGAGGCTGCAGTGAGCCAAGAATGCATCACTGCACTCCAGCCTGAGTGACACAGCGAGACTCCATCTCAAAAAAAAAAAAAAAAAAAAGAAAAGAAAAGAAAATCAAGCTTGCTTGATGCTCAGCCCTAATGTGGGACATTCTCTTTTTTCTCAGTTGATTATGAAAGGTTTTTAACCTGCTGTCTTTTAAAATACTCTGCGTCACCTCCCCCAAACAGCACAATCCAACAAGGTGCTGGTACTGTTCCAAATTACTGTCCACTTAACATTAAAGTCCAAAAATAAAGGGAGAAAATAAACCATAAGGCATGAAATCTGCCACCGCCGCCATGGCTCTCCCTTCTTTGGCTCCACACACTCGAGAGTTCCGGCTTCTGACAGCAGATGTGCAGCTGGATGGTGAAGGGACACAGCATGAAACAGGCGACACGGGCTGTAGAAAGAGCAGTGGAGCAGGAAACCTGCATCCGGCCTGATCGGATGCCCTTGGCCGTCTGACCTTGGACTTGGCCATCCACTCTCTGGGCTTCAGTTTTCTCCTTTGAACAGGGAATTCTCACTAAGTCCTCTTCCCGCTCTGCTGTTCTGTGAGTTGAGTGAGGGTCTTTCTCTTTAATTTCAGCCTCCATCTTGTAAACCAAAAAGTATCTGAGACAGGTCTCAACCAATTTGAAGATTTGTTGTGCCAAGGTTAAGGACATGCCTGGAAGTGAAAAACATGAAATCCCAGAAACAAGTCTCTAGTCTGTACCTTTCTCCGAAGATGGTTTTGAGGGCTTCGGTTTAAAGGCTGGAGGGGAGAGAGGCAGGGTGTGGTCACATGACTGAATCCATATGTGCAAAGGAGAAGGAGCAGGTAGAGGATTAGTCAATTATGTATTTGTCTCATGCTCAGTAAATCAGCAGTTTCCATAAGATAAGGTGAACATAGAGTAGCTACCTGTGGAGCTATTTCACCTTTTATCTATAGCCATCTACCTAAGAGCAAAAGGAAAGGCAGTTTCTTGCATGACTCAGCTTTTTTTGTTTTTTGTTTTTTTGTTTTTGCCTTTTTGGCATAGCGAATTGGGTTCCCAAGTTTTAATGTTCCTTTCACAGTATGCAGCTGCAGCCGTGTCCCGTGAGTGTGGTAAGGCTTAGGGTGTTTTGGAGATGAGCAGACCCGAGTTTTAATTCCAGCTATGATGCCCAAATGCTAAGTTAATGTTGAACAAGTATTTAACCAATGTGATCTTCGGTTTGTCATCTGCGAATGGGGAACAATAATAATAATAATACCTTATTTTGATAACTAGATATGATGCATATGAAATATAAGCACAGAGCAGATGTTCCATGGCTGGTAAATATTCTCCCGCTTCTTCTTGGTGTGGTTGTCTGCTTGCTCTGTGTCTATGGAAGTCAGATGAGCATTTGCCCAGAGCTTGGGTCGATGGAGCCCACAAGCTTCGAAGAATAAAATAACTAGAATGGAAACAGAAAATTAGATGTTCCATATGTTGTAACTCATTTTTGGCTGGAAAGTATAGAGACCTCAGCTGGGAGTGTCATTAGATACTTGGAAAGGATGGGCGATGATTAGCACAGGTGGCTGGAGATGAATTCCCTGAACCGGCCCTGACATCTTGGTAGATAGAGAAAAGCTCACATAGGTCAGAGCCTAGAATTTCACCTAATATGCATTTATTCTGTATCTTGTCATCACAAAGTTGAGTTTTGCAGTCTATTTGCTAAGAAGAGCAAAGAACTTTCCAGCAATATTGAAAGGTAATAGTCCTAAGGACCTTGAAAAGCTACATTTGTTAGAAAGTAACAGATGTTGTAGAAAAGCTGGCTTGTTTAGTTCAAGCAGAAAACCACCTTTCATAGGTCGTTGATTTCACCTGACATCGCTAGTGATCATTAACCCACCATGATCTTTCACATCGCTTCTAATCAACTCCACCTGTTCTTGCATCTGGCAAAAACAGGAACATGGCTAAAGATATTTTTCCACAGATACTTGTTTTGCAAGTAAGAATAAAGTAACATTAAGTAAGTATAAACAATTCATTTTAACATCAGTAAAGCTTCGGAGAAGAAGTGAGCCGAGAGCTCTCAGGTACAGCTACTGAGGCCACAGGGACTTTTTGTGGGAGGCCTCAGAGACCATCTTAGAGGAAGGGTATCTGAATGAAGAATGAGAGAGTATCTCAGCCCAGAAGCTACTCCATTTCTTAATCTGAAACCACAGAGGTTCGTGCCTTTGTGTGGATCTGTGCTGGGTCAATTTAGCTAAGCTAGAAATACATTTTCCAGAATTTCCTTTCCTGTATAGCTGCAGGTTGACGTGGGCCCAAGAGAAATTCGGTGTGAGATTTGCAAGCTGAAACAGCAGTCACATTCTTCTTGCACTCAGAAGGCAATCTAGCCGAGCATTCAACATGGGTGCAGCCACTCCAGTGAGTGAACATCAAAAGTCAGAGCAGAGAGGGGCCAAGGGCACACTCGCCAGCCTTAAGCTTCAGGATTGGAGCTCTGGGCTGGCGTGATCTGCTGAATGATGTCCCCACAGATTTATCTAGGTCTTTGTCTCTGGAATCTGCAAGTGTTACTTCATGTGGCAAAAAAAACTTTGCAGATACCGCTTAAGTTATAGATCTTGAGGCCAGGCACGGTGACTCACGCCTGTAATCCCAGCACTTTGGGAGGCTGAGGCGTGTGGATCACGAGGTCAAGAGATCGAGGCCATCCTGGTCAACATGGTGAAACCCCGTCTCTACTAAAAAAAAAAAAAATTAGCTGGGCATGGTGGCGCGTGCCTGTAATCCCAGCTACTCAGGAGGCTGAGGCAGGAGAATTGCCTGAACCCAGGAGGCGGAGGTTGCAGTGAGCCGAGATCATGCCATTGCACTCCAGCCTGGGAAACAAGAGCGAAACTCCGTTTCAAAAAAAAAAAAAAAAAAAAAGTTATAGATCTTGAGGCCAGGCGTGGTGACTCACGCCTGTAATCCCAGCACTTTGGGAGGCCAAGAATGTGGATTACCTTAGGTCAGCAGTTCAAGACCAGCCTGGTCAACATGGTGAAACCCTGTCTCTACTAAAAATACAAAAAAATTAGACGGCATGGTGGCCTGTGCCTGTAATCTCAGCTTTTCAGGAGACTGAGTCAGGAGAATTGCTTGAACCTGGGAGGCGGAAGTTGCAGTGAGCCAAAATGATGCTACTGCATTCCAGCCTGGGTGACAGAGCTAGAAAATGTCTCAAAGAAAAAAAAAGAAGATTAAGTTCTAGATCTTGAGATGATCCTGGATCACCCAATAGGCCCTAAGTGTCATCACAAGTGTTTTTATGAGGGAGAGAGGGACATCTGACTGCAGGAGGGGAAAGGCAATGTGCAGATGGCATCAGAGGGGGCTCTGAGGATGCTGCACTGCTGGCCTCGAAGAGAAGAAGGGGGACCATGGGCCAAGGAACGCAGCTTTCCAAGCTAGAAGAGGCCAGGAAGCAGATTCTCCGCCAGAGCCTCAGGAGAGAACACAGCCCTACCTTGGTTTCAGCCCAGTAAAACTCATTCTGCACCTTTGACCTCCAGAACTACCAGGCAATAAATGTACGTTCGAAGGCTCTTAGTTTGTGGGATTTGTTACAACAGCCATAGGAAGCTAACATTCCTGTTAAGGTTCGGGATCCTTCCTAGACAGAGGACTGACAGCAGGCTCCATCCAGCCCTGCTCCAATCTTGCTGTTGCCTTCAGGAGATCCCAGGGAAGAGTTTGGAAAAGGGGAGGCTTTGGGTGTGAAATAGTTAAGTGACTTGTCATACAACCACACCGGAGGACACTGTGTGTGTGTGTGTGTTAAAAATGATATCCAGTAGAGTTTGGATGATGCAGGGAAATGCTTAGGATGCAACGCCAAGCAAAAAGAACAAGGGATTTTTTTTAAGTATACGTAGTAGAGCTTGACTGGGCAAGAGCGGGCTGAGAGCAAACAAAACAAAATACTGGCCGGGCGCGGTGGCTCACGCCTGTAATCCCAGCACTTTGGGAGGCCGAGGTGGGTGGATCACAAGGTCAATAGATCGAGACCATCCTGGTCAACATGGTGAAACCCCGTCTCTACTAAAAATACAAAATATTAGCTGGGCATGGTGGCGCGTGCCTGTAATCCCAGCTACTCAGGAGGCTGAGGCAGGAGAATTGCCTGAACCCAGGAGGCGGAAGTTGCAGTGAGACGAGATCGCGCCATTGCACTCCAGCCTGGGTAACCAGAGCGAAACTCCGTCTCAAAAAACAACAACAACAACAAAAAAAAAAACAACTGCAAAAGTACCCAAGGGCTGTCTCTGGCTGGGGGGACTCTGGTGATGGCTGTTTTCTTTGTACTTTTCTCCGTAGGGTCTCATTTAGGAGGATTCAGGGCTATAGAACAGCAGCTGCCAAATGAGCAGGTTATAGCCAGAAAAATGTCAAATGTCGGCATATCAGGAGCTCTGAGATCCATTGGAGGCCTCTCAGCTTTTTCTGTGACCCTCAGAGATGGACCATGGGAGGGGACGAGGGGGAAGGAGAGAGCATTAGAAGAACTACGGAGCCAAGTTATAGACAGTTATCTGCTGGCGAACGGGTTTTCTAACCTGCCTTGCCTGTGGCTGCTGCACCGTTCTCTCTTTGCAGAGGGAAGTGGGGAATACAGTGTTCCCCTTTCCCATTCTCTAGGTCTCTGGATTATTTGGAAACACACATCTAGGCAAACAGCAGGCTCATTTTAGCAAGGACTATTTCCAGCTGGGACGGGATGGGGCTGGCAGGCATGACAGCCTTCTCCCTGTGTCCAGACCTGGGCCAAGACTCTGCCACTGACCCCAGGCTGGAAGATGACGTTTATCTCCCAAAGAGCTGATCCTAGTTCTCTAGTTCTTCATGTGGTTTAGATGAAGAAGCCCAGGACTGGAGGAAAAAGGGGCACGGCCGGCAGATCACTGGGTGAAGCTGCGTCTACCTGGTGCCATCGTGAGTCATAAACTGGCAGGTTCTTGTGTTCTGAGGAGCCCTGGGCCGCCCAGCTGAGACGGCTGTCAGGACGGACCCTTCTAAGCCAGGAGCATGGGTCTTGGCTGCTGCTTGAGGAGCAGATCTGCCCGCTGCAGGCAGCAGGGTGAGGAAGGGGCTTCTCCCAACTCTGTGCTGATGGGAATTAGGCTGAGAAAGGCCTTCCAATCCAGCAGAGCTAGGCTGGAGGCCGAGAGCAGCACAACTGTCTTTTGGCACTAAAAATTAATAATGTGGAAAGCTGAGGGAGAACGAGGCTGTGAGCCTGCCCACCAGGCAGCCTGGGCAGAAGTCAAGGAGTTCTATTTTTATCAAGAAGTGCCACATTCTATTATACTACTCTCAAAGAAATGCTCTTTTTTTTTTTTTTTTTTTGAGACGGAGTTTCGCTCTTGTTACCCAGGCTGGAGTGCAATGGCACGATCTTGGCTCACCGCAACCTCCGCCTCCTGGGTTCAAGCAATTCTCCTGCCTCAGCCTCCCGAGTAGCTGAGATTACAGGCACGCGCCACCATGCCCAGCTAATTTTTGTAATTTTAGTAGAGACAGGGTTGCACCATGTTGACCAGGATGGCCTCAATCTCTTGACCTTGTGATCCACCCACCTCAGCCTCCCAAAGTGCTGGGATTATAGATGTGAGCCACCGTGCCT